TTCCGGGGGGATTGGGGGGCTTTCCAGGGGTCTTCCACAAGGGGGGCCGGCCCGCGGGGAAACACCAGCCCCTGGTCGCCCGGTTTTTGTTTTTGCGGCGGCGGCGGCTGCTGTCTTTATCCGGGGCCCCCCCCCCCCCCCCCGGGTTGTTGTTTTCCCTCTCTTCCAACCCCCTGGAGGTACCCGGGGAGGTCGGGGCGCCCTTCCGGAAAGGGCAGGGAGGTATTTCCCCTCTTCTAAAAAAATTAAGGGGGGGGGTGTTGAGTAAAAAAAAAAAAAAAAGGGTTTTGTGTGTGTTTGGGGGGGGGGGGGGGGTACTCACAGTCGTGCATGTCGTAGTCATTCGACCATTTACCTCGCATCCCTGCAAAGCCGGGACGGAGCACGCCGGGTTCTCGCCGGACCAGGCTCTCACATCACCAAAGCGCGAAGAGGTACTTGTACTGTGTGGGTGTGTGGGGGTTTCATCTTCTTAACGCGGGGGGTGGTATCTTGTGTCACGTCTCGCATACGGTAGATACCCCGAGCGAGACGTGACGTGCATGTGAACAGAGAGGGGTGGGGGTGTTAACAGTAGAGGTCCCTGTTTAGTGCCGGTTGAATAGTGCCGGTGCCCGGAATATTGCCGCTGTTTTCGGCGGGCAGGCATACCCTAAAATTTCCAAGTCATCCTCAGCACTTTTAATGGTGCCGATCCGGTATTGTGCGGGTGAGTTTTCTGGGTACACGCACAGGCACCACACAGGGACCTCAAGTGTATACGGTAGATAGCTCACCCCCGAGGCTGACGTGAGGTGCAGGTGAACGGAGAACCGCCTCCCTGGCGAAGCGGCGGCGGTGGCGGCGGCGGCGGCAACGGTAACCGCTTCCTCCTCCTCCTCGTCCGGCAAACCAATGACATCCTGCAGCTCGGTTTCGAACATCACCATCTCCTCGGGCGACCGTGTGCTCCAGATCTTGGAGGGGGGGTTAGCACGAACACGCGAACCACACATCCACACATGCATTAATTAGCCGGCCGATTGGCGCGGTGCGAAGGCCCAGTACTCTCGAGGTGCCGAAAATAAAAATACAAAAAGTCGAGCTCTGATTAGTCGAAGACCAGCAAAAAGGGGGGAAGGGGGCAGGGCTCAATTCCCTGGCCCTAACCCTAATCCTGAGCGTCCTTAGAGCGGGGGAGTGTAAAAAAACTGTAGTCCCCTGTTGCTTTGGTGTATGTCTGCGGGGTATCACGCTCCGAAACAAGTGTGTGTGCCCGTAAAGCAGGGAGTGCTTGTCCAAAACTCTGCTGTCCTTGCAGCTGAGAGGACTAGTACTTTTGTACTTGGACAAACACATCTCTCGGCCATGCGCACACAACCCACGCAATGGTCAGTTACAACAAGCAGCAGCAGCAACAGCAGCAACAGCAGCAACAGCAACAACAGCGGCGGCAGCAGCAGCAGCAGCAACGACAGCGACAACGACAACGACGAGCCAACGCTCTCACCAGCTTGACTCCCTCTTGGAGGCAGTTCTCCAAGCACCCGGCGCGAGCCAACAGGCTCAGGTGTCTGAGGATGGAGATGCAGGGGGTGACACCGATTCCGCCAGCCACCAGCACGAGAAGGCGATACCGCTCGTACTGTAGCAACGTTCAACATGTTGTCGTTGTCGTTGTCGTTGTTTGGAAGGCAAACAAGAGGAATCAATGTCGGGCGACAAACGACGAAAAAGAGGAGAGAGGGACGTACTACTTCTGATCAGCACCCAATCGTAACACGATCAGGGGAGTAACCACATGGCTTTTGGACGAGGACGAAACTCGAGAAGATTTCTTGTACTTGTTATTCATGAAGCAAAAAACTTGGTCACGAGGGTTCGCACTTTCTTTTCTGGGCCACAGCCTTCGTTCTAAGATAGAGCGTGAGGGTAGGTGAACCTGATCAAGGAGACAAGACAAGACAAGATGACGGAGAAAGCCGCACTCGACGGTTTCGTTTCACAGGTTAGGTTACACATATATCCTACTTGCCGTAGGAGGCGGAGAGATAGCACCCCCGTTAGACCGACATTCAAAGCTCGTTGCTCGAAAAATTATTATGTTTGCGAAATAACCACCATTGGTCCCAAGCTTGATTTTGGAGCAATCAAGCTTTGGAGATCGGTCAAGGGGGGGGCGGGGGGGGTACTCATAGTCGTGCATGCCGTAGTCGTTTGACCATTGACCTCGCATCCCTACAAAGCCGGGACGGGGCACGCCGGGTTCTCACCGGACCAGGCTCTCACATCACCAAGCGCGAAGCGCCGTGAGGTATTTGGTGAGTCGCATGAAGGGTGAGCTGCATCCTGCCAAGGGTGTTCGGCATCTTGTGCTAACTTCCTTGCGTACGTATGACAGCTACGTATGACTTAATTTATGTTCTGGTGCTTTCACTTCCAGAGACAGCTGGAAGCACTGTGTAACTGCCTCGAGGATGCTTGACCATTTTAACACAACGTGGTGCGACTATCCGCTTTGCGCGGAGTGAGGTTTCTCCACCCCGCACAACATGATCTACTCGACCACCATTATGGCTACCGCCAAAAAAAAAAACGAGGTAAAAAAAACAAAACGGTAACTTGGTTGCCGAGTTCACGAAGTGAATTGGCTTGTTTTACAACGTCGTTGCCAAGCGACGAAAACCCAATCCCGATGGCAAGCACCGAGGGGGCGGCTTGTTTTACAACGTCGTTGCCAAGCGACGAAACCCCAACCCCGATGGCAAACACCGGGGGGGGAGGGGGGGGGGG